ACACAGAGCCAGACACATCAGATGTGTGAAGAGAGCATTCTTGAATATTTCCTCTCCGTGAAAAATGTCCCTGTTTGTTTCAGACTCTCTTCCTCCTCCTCTTATAGCATGACTTCAGAACCTTCCACAGACCCACAGTCCTCTCTTGAACCATCCCATCTGCCACCCTCCCTTATAAAGGGTGGTGCTCAGAATAAATCATGGAACTCATGGTCCATCGTGGGCACGTCCCATGCCACCTACCCTCACTCAACTCACAAGCAAAGGTTGGGGAGACCTCCGAGTGATCTGTTGGAAGGAGAAAGACCAGGGGCCACGTCACAAGGTTCCAACCTGTCAGAGGCCGTTAGACTCTGGATTGCTATGTCTTAAAGCATTCTTCAGCTCTAGAAATGTCCCCGCAGAGGAATAGACAGGCTTGTGCAATGCTGTCTTTTGAACAGCTTTTGGTACCCCCTGCTGGTGAAATCGTGGGACCCAACTGGCAGGAATCTCAAACAACTAGGAAAAAAAATTCCAAGTTCGAGGAAGTCACCACCCTTGAGGGATCTGAGGATTCTATGAGTTACGCTATCATCCCATATATCATATGACTCTCTTAGGAGTTTTTTTTAAACATTCTATAGTTTATAGCTCTTCTGTGGGCTGTGAGGGGGAAAAAACGTCCCTGACTTCTGTGAACATCCCATCAATTCTGCAAACATCCCAGGAGTTCTGTGACAGCCACAGGAAGGAAATGCTAAGTTCTTAGCCAAAAATATTCGTTAAGTAGAAATACTTCAGGTCACAAACTAATTTCATGCAGGTTTTTCTTCCTCTTTCCTTATATGTATCTTTTTTTTCAAGTGGTTATAATTTGCAGTCAGAGTAGGATGACAGTCTTATCTACACTTCAATTTGTAGACTTTTAAATAGAAATTTGTACAACAAATTTATTGAGCACCGGCTGTGTGCCAGACACTCAGCAAGAAATTGGAATAGGTGCAAGAAGTCGAAAGCCCTTCACCGAAGAGGTTCTTGCCTTCGTGGGTAGGAGAGTCGAATGACTGCACTTGAACCTGTCAAGGGCTTAGCTGACATGGCAGCAAGGCCTTCCTCGATCGCCTGGGGTTCAGGCCGGCTATTTGCTGCTCTCTCGCTGCTTTATGTATTTTTCCTTCTTGCGTTTCTTCACCTTTGTGATTGTGTATTGATTTCTATATTTACCTGTTTAATGCCTGTCTTGGCCATTCGTCTCTTGTGTTCTGTGAAGGTCAAGGCCACGTCTGGTGTCTGACACCATGACCTTCTTACATCCCGCAGAGACTGGTATATGTAGGTACTAAATAAATACGTGTTCAGTGGGTGAGTCAGCCAAGGAGAGAGAACCACACGTCTGTGTAGGCGAGCAAGAGGAAACCTCAAAGACGTGACATTTGAATGCCACTGAGCCTTGAAGGGTGAAGAGGGGGTGGCCAGGGGAGAAGAATGGGGCACATTAAGGAGTAGAGGGTATTGAGGAATGGTGCAGAGAGGGGGATGAGGCAGGTGATGTCTCCTGAAAGGAGGTGCATGTGGAAGGAAAGGCTGAGTTGAATCCTGGAGCCGTAGGCTGAGTATCTTGTATGTCCTAGTCACGAGTTTGGATTTTCCCCCTCTCTTAAGGGAAGAAAATAAAAGGGAGATGAATCAACTAAACTCTACGAGTATAGGAATGAATATTTTTTTCCTGAATTACTGAGAGGGTTTTTTAATACTTAAATTTTGAATTCTTATAAAGGAAAAATCGCAGATTATGGTTTTGTGTTTTATTTCCTTCTATATCCCCTCCATTCCCACATTGTAGCTGTGTTTACCTATTGCTGAAACACCTGTCCTCACCTTTTTAAATTTTATGTAGCATCGTCATCCCCCTCATGAACCTTCAGCTAAAAACTAAGAATACATTACAAGATCTTATGGTAGCTCACAGAGAAAAAAAGAAATGTGACAATGAATATATGTATGTTCATGTATAACTGAAAAATTGTGCTCTACACTGGAAATTTGACACAACATTGTAAAATGATTATAAATCGATAAAAAATGTTAAAAAAATTTTAAAATAAAACCTGTTACATCACACACACACACACACACACACACACACACACACAAATGAATGTCGTATACCTGAGTGTTTACAACTCAGTTGTCTAATTTTTAAATATCTATATGTTTTGGAGAAGCTCAATTCTTTAAATTTTTTAACCCAGGTGTTCAGAGCTACCCAAACATTTCTGTAAAATGCCATTTCTCATCGATACGGCAAGACCTTTTTAGAATTATTCCTTTGGAAATCAGTGATTTGTGCCTAAGACAACTCTCTCCATATTATTTTACCCTGAACAGAATGAGATGAGTTGGGAGTTCTGCCCTTAGGAAATATCAGAGCCCCCAGTACACACTCGTTTATAGCCTGAAAGTTAACTCCCTTATCGGATTTCCTTTTAGTTCCTGCTGGGGCAGTGTGAGCAGGACTCAGATGGGGGCAGAGGATCTGCTGTATATCTTTCCAGATTTATGATTAAGAAGGTCACATATACATTTTTAAACACACTCCTTTTTGATAATAAATGAAGACTAAGACTGAAATGCCATCAGCAGCAGAATTACTCGCTCTTCTTTCATTCGTGTCCCCCACCCCGCCCGCTGTCGGCCTGCCTGCCGACGGTGAGAAAGGGCCTGACTGGTCCCATGCCTGCCTCGTGTTTTTCTCTCTCTCTGGGATGGTTTCACTAAAGGAGCAGTGTGCCTGTGGTTAAACCATTATAACCAAAAGATTCACTTCTACTTCTGAGTGCCCTTCCTTCCTCAGGCCAATGGAAAATAAAAAGGAGACGATGACGAGGAACCCCATTTTAGGTTGCATTGGTCTTCAACTTGTGGGCAACAAAAGCTCTTCTCTTCTTAGAATTTCCTGGATCTAGACTCACTCTGCGCTCCTCCGCGCTGCTCTGTGCTTACAGAGCAAGATCTGTGTGGATGCCATGCTTCTGGCTTCCAGTTGGGTTCAGCTCATGAGAGCCCCTCTAGGAGGTCAGAAAAGGAGGGGACGATGTAGTCAGAGAGCTTGTGCTTCTGGTTCCTTCCCTGTGAGGTCATCCAGGACTGGCTGGATCCCTGGGGAGAAGGCTGCTGCTTCTGTACAGGTGGCCTCCTCTTCGTGACCCCTTTTAGGTTCGGGTCACTGCTTCCTCTGTTTGTGCCCCTGGACCTACAGGTGGTGAACAGCTCTCCTGTCACAGTATTACACCTTCTCACTTTGTCAACAGTCCTCTGATACATAAACTCTCCTTTGAGTGTGCCATCTGCCATTCTTCCATGCAGTCTCCACCTAGATCAAGGCCATGTGAGGGAGAGCACGGTCAGACTAGAACTGGTCCTCGACGTCAGCCTCTAAAACACTTCAAAGTCCCCGCTCATCCTTGCGTTTAATGCCTCCTCTGACAGGGGGGTCGTTATCTCTTGAAACTGCGTATTTCGTGATCATGTGGGCTCAACTTTGGCAATTTCCCACATGTGCTGAATTTGACTTCCTTGGGACATGTGTTCTTTCTGTGTTGAAATAGGAGTGACCAAGATTTGAAGCTAAGACTGAAAAATTGAGCAAGATACCTGGAAGAAGTGACCTTCAAGACGTTTAACATACAACCCGTAGCCTTGTGTATCGTAGGAACATAATTACTATGTATAGATGCATAAATGTTGGGTAAATTCAGAGGCATCGTGCTGGTTTTTAAGAAATATTTGGCAAACTGTCACACGCAAGTGGGTTAGTCATGTTCTTATATCTCTGACAATAAACCTAAGACCCTTCAGTTAAAATTTAAGAGGAGTAGATCTCAAATCCATACAAACAACTTTTTACCCCGCAGCTTCCTGGTGAGGTGCCACGGTCTCCATCACTGGATATAATCCAGGGGGAGATGGGATTCCACAGAAGAACTGTGGGAGGGAGGCTTCTGGCCGTGGAGGGTAGCTGGACAAGTGGCGATGATATAAAAACAAGAATAGCGGCTGCCATGTGTTACGTGTTCACTGTGTGCCAGGCACTGTGCTGGGTGAGCGTTACACATTATCTCATTTAATCCTCACAACCCCGTGAGGCTGGCTTGTTACTTACCACAGTAGACAGAGGAAGAGTTCAGGACCTAAAGAGGTTTGGGAACTTGCCCTGAGTCATGTGGCCGCAGTGTTAGAGGTAGGATTTGAGCCCAGGTCTGCCTGATGCCAAAGCTGATGGTTGCAACCCCCGGTGGTTCATGTCAGAATCACCTGGGGAACTTGGTGGCCGTGCAAAGTTCCAGTCCCTGTCCCCTTTCTATGGACCTAGGAGCCAAGGGCTTTTTCAGCTCTCCGAGTGGTTCTCACTTACACCAGTTTGAGCACCATGGCTTTCCGTCATCATCATCATCATCATCATTGTAAATGCCTGTCTGGCTCTGAGGTTCCACTATGGGAATAATTGTTCTACTTTTGAGCTATGTGACTAACTAGCCTTCACCCTCACCCACTGCCAACCACCAGCCCTGACTTCAGTGCACCATTGTTTAGTGGGTTATTTCATTGCTTTAATCCCTGGAAGAGGCCAGAGTCGATTTTGAATCTCCTTCAGACTCACGGGAACAGAAAGACTCACTTGGCTTCTTCTTCCCTTTGAAGGGAGAGTAACAGAAATGTTGTGCAAATCTCATTGATTTCCCATTTTAAGCTCGAGTAAAAAACACACCCATTGTTGGGATGAGGCACGATGAGTCTCAAATTTCTGAGCAAATGGAAGCTATTAACAGTTTCAGGTAGACTGAGGTTCGTTCCACCTGGACATTGGCGGACCTGCCTTGACTCTGTTTCTGGAGAAGGGACCAGGTTTGGGGGTTGAGGATGACTGGTGGGGAAAGAGAGCAATCTGATCTTCCAGTGCTTATCAAAGCAACTGTCACCATCTGACTGTGATTTTTCCCCTTGCACATGTCCCAAAGGAAGCTGGCCAAGAAGCAGAAGGAGACCCAGAGTGGAGCTCAGAGGGAGATGGGACCTGTGGCCTCGGCCGACAAGCCCACCACCAAGCTCAGCACCAGCCGCAACGATGAAGGCTTCTCCTCCAGCTCACAGGACGTTAACGGATTCAGTGAGTTGAGCCAACTAGGGGGAAGGGGACACCCATGGTCCAGCTTGACCCTGGCACCTCAGCTACTGACCCCTCAGCGTCAGGTGCTAAAGGACGTGGGGTCTGGATGCTTCCCTGGACGGTCCAGGATGAAGGTGCTCCCTGGCAAAGGCTTGGAGCTGCCCACCCCTAGGTGAAAAGGAGAATTTAAGAGTCTACCTCAATGCAGATGGAAATGGGGGCAAGCCATCTTAACTGCTGCTTATGTACATAGAGGCAGGTTAAAGCTAACCATGGTAAAAAGAATTAAAGAAGGAGGAGGAGGAGGACATGGTATGGCCCTAAGGAGGAAAACATGGCATACCGAATTGAGTGTCTTACAGTTTTCAAAACAGTGTTGCACATACACCACAGCTGGTTAGATGAGTCACGGGTCATGGCTGACTCCATTTCTCAGCTTAGGAAACTGAAGCTTAGAGAAGCAACTTCTCTGAAGTCCTGTGGCTGATGAGGAAAATATTCAGACCCAGAAGCTGTACCTTCCAAGTCTTGGCCAGTTGAAGGCCACAGCCAGTGAGCCAAGTGGCATTTAGTTAAGAGCACCAGTGTCCTCCTGCAGAGTTAACACAAGGTCCCACGCTAATAGAAGCAGCTATCATTTCAGGGTTCACCCTCATCCAAAGGAGAGCCTCAAGACTAGTAACCTAAAGCCACCTTGGTGATCAGACTCAAGAGAGCTGACTTTTGCTCTTAAACTTTCTGAAAGCCAGTTCTTTTCCTGGATTGCGTAAAAATGCTAGATTCCCCAGCCTCTGCTCCAAAGTGGGGAATGCGTAAAACCTAAAGCTTATGAGCAGTGACAAATGTCCTCCCCATGCTGTGCCAGTGGCAAAGGGAGGAGGGAAGAAATCGTATGTTGTGAAAAATCACTCATGTGAGATCAGCTAGGGATGGTGCGGACCTAGGAGAGGACGTAGGAAGGGACAGGTACACGGGGACACTTTCTTCCTCCCCACAGCCGTGTCAGATACGAGTATGACTGTTCCCATTTTACAGATGAGGTATCCGAGGCCCAATGTGCTTGGCCGAACTTCCTACAGTTACACAGATGCTTCCTTCTGGATCTAGGATCTGAGGGTAGCTCAGACTCCTGACTCCTTACCCCAAGTGCAGCACAGAAACTCCTTGAGGAAATTTTTCAAAATACAATGGCTGGGCCCTCACCTTACCTGCTGAATCAAAATCTCCTGGGGAGATGAGGGATGAGGATTTTGTAAAAGCTATTCAGGGGGTGCTTATAGGCACCCTGGTTAAGAATGGTGAACCTTGAGAGAGGCAGAAGCTCTTTTCAAATACTGATGTGCTGCATTGGAAAAGAGAGATGCATTTTAAACCTATAAAAAGACTTAAAAAAATAGTAAGATGAATACTCATTTACCCTTTACCTAGATTCACCAATTGTTCACATTTTGCAATATTTGCACTTTCTGTCTCTGGGGTGTGTGTGTGTGTGTGTGTGTATGTATGTATGTGTATATACACTCATACTACATATGTATATAATTTTCTCAACCACTTAGAAGTAAGTTTCAGACACCATGACACTCCATCTCCAGAGAATTCAGCATGTGTTTCCTGAGAACTAGGACAGCTCTTCAACATAACCACAGTAAAATTATTTTACCCAAGAAACATAACCTCGTTTCAGTCTGTGATAAACCAGTCCGTAGCTGAATTTCCGCCATGGCCCTAAAATGTCCTCTCGTGTTGTTACTGTTTTTTGAATCCACCTTGTGTTTGGCCACCACGTCTCTTCATCACCTTTCACCTGCAGTGGTTCACCCACCTTTAGTTTTTCTATCAGGATGCTGACATTTTTAAAAAGTCTAGGTGCGTTGTCCCACAGGATGTGCCAAAGTCCAGATTTGTCTGTTTTTTTCCATCCTGATCACACTCAGGTTAAACGTTTAGGCAAAGGAAGCTGCGCAGGTGATGTGTTCGTACTTCCCTTTGCATTGTTTCCGGAGACATGTGCTGTCAGTTTGCCCACTATTGTGGGTGTTAAGTTTGGGCACTTCTTAAGGTCAAGAAATGGCTTTTAAAGGCAAAGTATAATAGCACATACTGGTTATTTCATGAGCAAATATTTAACTTCCATTTTTCTTGGAGAACAGAGCAAGTTTGCAGGCTGCCTAACCACAAAGCCAGTTCTTTTTCGGTTCTCCGTCCAGGGAATTCTGGGATTCATGTGTTCCCGAGTGTCCAGGAAAAGAGGATGCTGACGTAGGCCAGGAGCAGCAGAATAGGGGTTGGCGAGGAACGGGGCTTGGTTTGACCTTCAAGGCTCATCTGAGTGAGCCCTCTGAGCCTCCAGCTGTGCTAACTTGTCACTGACTCTCCTGCTTTTAGCCCAGGGGCAAGGAAGTTCACTAGCAAGCCTAGCGTATAGCACGTGCTGGCTGAGTGGTACACATTCACCTAAAAGCTTTCCTGTCCAGGCCAGGCTCGTGTGCGCACTTCTTTCCATTTGTAAACATGTCCTGGGAGGACTCTGAATGCCAAAGACACATGACAAACTTTGTGACTCCGAAATCATAGGTATTTGATCTTAAGCTTTCTGATCTTAAGGGCAAATATCACCTCCATTTAAAACTTAGACACTTAGTATGAAAATGCCCAAGACTGAGGCAGATTGGCCAGCAAGAGGAAGAAGCATCATATCCAGTAAAATCTAATTAGGTGTTTTAAAGTCCAGACACACTCTTTCCAAGAATGATATGTGTATGTTTTCTGTTTATATCCACGCATACATATGCACACAGACATGCACATATATAGACAAAGACCTGTATATGCATATTGTATATACGTTTGTTTTAATATTGCTTTTTAAAAGATGGAAAATTTTCAATTGACATTATACTCAGTTATTAAGAAATTTTGCATTTGTTTGAATCAATGAATATTTTAGAATTCTCTCTGTGCATCTGCTGTCCTCAGACTAGAGCCACAAACATGCTCTGGGGATTCTTCTGAATGCCCTGGAAGACATCAGGTACCTTTTAAAATGCTCCATGAGCCACTGGGATGAGATTTGAGGGGGGAAAAAAATGTAAGTAATGCTTACACTGGAGATGCAGAAATTGCTTCTGAAATCACCCTAATGTATGTAAAATTGAATCTATTTTCGTGGCATTAGAAAAGTGACTGGCTTCTGCATCGGCAGCTCTAGGAGGCCCTGAGATGACTTGCACATGTTGAGGAAGCACTGAGAGAGGCAGAGCCAAGCACAGACGTCACATTGGAAAAAATGACAGAGTAACATGCCCTGAGCAATTATTTCATTATTGAACAGGTGGGCCCTGGCCTGATTCAAACTCTGCATCTCACTGTGTAGGTTTGTCTCCCTGGGTTTTCTATTCCAAGCGACTGCTAAGTTCTGCAACATCCTTTCAGTCAAGCCTCCCAGCTTTGTAGCGGACCAGTGACCTCTGGGATGCAGGGGTGAGGGGGCTTTGTCAGGTGCGGGCTGTTGCTCTGGAGCCCTTTGGCGTTCTTTAAAAAGGGGAGCCTGTCACATTTCAAGGAAAACCAATATACGTTGTTTTCAGTTTAAAGAAATGCTTTTTATTAGGTAATCTGATTTTGATCTTATTGCCCTTTGTACCTGATTGTTGTGTTTTGTTTTTTTCTTCTGAGGTTTTTTGCTCACTGGGATCATTTTCTAGGTTTGTCTTCTGGCGCTTTCTTTTCATATTCGTGCTTAAATCTTCTTTATAGTTTTTGTTCATAGTCTCATCCCCTCCTGGTTCATTTTCAGTCCAAATCAAAATGCTACAAAACAAATCGCCGTTGATTTCCTATTCTATGGGGCTTGGCTGTCCACCCTTCCCGCGATGGCATTGGACAGGCTCATTTGCCCATTGGGTGTTGTTAGTAAACTCTGTCTTCATTTTTTTTTTTACTTTCATTCTGTTGAATGGATTCATGTCCAGTGGGTGAGGGCAGTTTATCTCTAAGGGGCATCACATGCTGGGCCGTCACACTGTCTGCTAAGTAAAGAGGCAGGCATGGTTGAGGGCGTGGAGGTGAGATTCAGTGGCCATTTTCTCAGCATTTACTACATACTTGTCCCTGTGCTGTAAGTCTGAAGCACAGTTTGAGGAGGCATGTAATTACAAAGATGAATAAAATGGGGCATTGTCTCAAAATCAATGACAGTTTCTACTTGTAAGTTTTTCGTAGTTTACAAAAGTCCTTTTGAAAAACCCTGGAGCCATAGATCCTTAATCCTTCACCGTGAGAGAGTTAGTGGGTTTGTTATTACCCCTGTTCTACAGATGAGGAAACTGAGGTTCACAGAGGCTCCGTGCCCCAAATCACATAGGCATTTGCAAAGCCGTAATAAGGCTCCATCTATCCTCATATCAGTTAGGCTTTATCCGCTTAGTGCTGCAAAGAATTTAGAAAAACATTCATTAAAGTACCTACAATAAAATAACTATATGAGAATTAAATAATCAGGATAAGAGAAACAAAAAAGAAGACAATAAGGTCAAGACCAGGTTATTTTAAAATATAATTCTATTATATTAAAACATAATCTAAATATGCAACTATCAAATTCCAGTTTGTCTCCACACTTTCTAGTAGCAAAAGCCCAAATAGGAAGATCACTTTTGTTGGCAGCTACGATGTGCTAGACTGTATGCTTTATATAAATCCCGCTCTTCAGCCTCCTAGGAACCCTATAAATTAGATATTGTTCCCATTTTGGACATGAGGAAACTGAGTTTCAGAGAACTGGAGTAAATAAGCCCAGAGTCACACACGCGTAGCGTGGGGATGGGATTGGAAGCCAAAACAGGATTATCTGAGTCCGGAACCCCTGTTCCCTCTCCTGTACCGGGAACGTAGCCCACCACGCATTGGGCTCACCGAGTGAGGCCGCTGATGGCTCGGGGGGAGAGAGAGCTCCACTCCTCTTCTGATGGTCGGCCAACTTTTCTGCCACGTGGGCA